TTTTTTTTTCTGGATACAATGCAGTGAAAGAAAACTTCAGGCGGCAGGGACTTGGTGAAGTATTGCTTCAGACAGCTATACAGAAATGTAAGTCACGAAATATCCACAGAATATCACTTCATGTTGATCCCTCGAGGACTGCAGCTTTGAGTCTCTACAAGAAACTTGGCTTCCAGGTGGATTGTTTAGTAGAATGCTACTATTCTTCTGATAGAAATGCGTATAGAATGTACCTGGATTTCAATGCTGATTAGCAATCATTCGTCGAACGAAATTGCATGCTGATGGACGTAACATAATATAGACTCTGAATTGCAGAATCCAATGAATTTTATTACAATCTGTTTGGGGTTCAGAACCGGGAGAACTACAAAGAGATCCGTACTGAAGATGAATATTCGCTAAATCTTGAATTTATTCCTCTGATAAAGTATAGATGTTAACCATCATTCTAATGAATCTAGAAAGGATGAAGATATTTTAATCTTTATATTTTTTTTTTTTCTTTTTAAGTTATTGCCTAACGAACATTTACATATTGAAATTGCAAAGCTTTTTATGCAGTGTTATAAATGTGAATAAAGAGATAAAGAACTGAATATAATAAATGAATATAATGTATACTGATTTTCTTCTTTCTTCTGTATATATATTCATTGCATTTAGGTGCTCTTTTATAGGCAGTCCCCCAACATTAAATTGAATCATGTACACGGAATTTGATATCTCAATTCCCTTGCTGATCACATTTTCTATAGTGATAGAATCTAATAGTGGTAAGTCCACTTGTTCATAACACCATCCTTTGGGTTACTGCTATTTAATGTGCGTTTATGTTGTTTCGTTAAAAACTTTATCTGGAAAAATCATGTTGGAAAAAATCAAGATAAGGAAAGAAGAGTAAACCCGCACATGCTTCCCCTTGAATTATCATTTGGGTAAATTTCGAAGATGTCTCATTTCAATGTTGTTGACGTGCTTTCAAAATGTTGCAGTCGGAAACGCCTTCGTTAAATAAGATTGTGGCATTATTGCTTCATCAAATGTATTGAATTTTGATTTGTTTATTCCTTTCAAGCTCTTTTGGGTGTATGAGAAGAACTTTGGCGGGATATCACCGTCGAATCTTTGTTCTTTGATAATCCATTGGCTTATTGGATGTGTTGAGTCATATTTCTAAGCCATATGCTTTTCCTAGCTGCTTTGCAAAGATTTTATGGTTTGAAGGTGTAGCAACAAATGTTTTTTTTCTATAAGACCAAGACAACGCAGTTCCACCGATCGTGAAAACGTAACTCATTTGAGATCTTGCATTGTGTGGATCTGGCAAATTTCTGCATCTGACACAACGCGCGATCCCTGACATGCACCGATAGAGCACCATGTGCTTCCAGGCCTCGATTCGCGACAGGTATAGTGTCGTGGCAGCCAGTCTCTCGCGGTGCGGCACAGCACGCGACCCCTGCCACGCTCCAAAAGACAGCTTCCCAGGCAGACCCGTCGCGGCGCGGCAAGCCTTGCGCCGCAACACCTGCTCGACCCATATTTCTTTATCCCCCGTTTTTGCTAAGTTTTTCGGGCACTATATATTGGGATGTGTTCCTAGACCTAAGAAATCATCTTCAAACTCGTTTTCTTCTGTTTTCATCTTAGAACATATTTTGATCTTGATTTTCTTCTTGGTTCTTGTTGATACCCAATTTGGCTCCAATTGATTAAATGATAAACGAAGTAATAAAATACGGCCCAATAACCAAGGAGCCGAAAATACGTGATAAACAATATATACTAACAGGTACGCAAGACTAATCATCTAAAAGCCAACCGGGTCCCCAGATGGCGAGTACGCCTGGTGCCGAACCGGACAAAGTTCAAAGCAATCGGATGTCCTATATATTAAGAAAAAGCCGCCTTTGGAAAACACGACAATTGATGAGAAGACAAACATCAATTGGAACCGTAAAAAGTAATAAGCGGACCCCATGACAATTATTTACATTAAATAATAATGTACTCTCTTTTGCTTATTTAATTGCCCACTTGCATAATAATGGGGCATATATATATTTGTAAAGAGGAGAGAAAATGGGATTTCTCCTCATTTTCCATCTCCCCCAACAAAAAAAAAA